GCAGCGTTTAATAGCGTAGGAAATTCCTCGGATATCAACAAACTCTGGATTTTGCCCACTTCTGCCTCTATTTCCTCCCACTATACTGACATGAACGGGATTCAATTCTAGTAGACAGTATTTTCGCCTCAAGTTATTCCAATAAACTAATTAAACAACCTCAAATGTGTGTTACATAACCCAATCTCCAACCTTTCATCAGATATGGAATCTACTGTACATTCTTACTTACGCTCCTCTGAAAATAACTACTTGGTATTTTATTATGGATATTGAGTATTCGACTGAAATTTGGCTGAGACGGACTATTGGCTGAAACCGCTCTGGTGGTAGAATTCCAGCATCTGCCTACCCACTTGGCTGTTCTCGTTTCCCAACCTTTTGAAAGAACAAATAAGTGACAATTTGGTTTCGGGTTCATTGCGCTTGCTCGCATGGCTGCCTACCTATTTAGTAGTAGAAACCATGGTTTGTTTAATTACTTAGACATCGACTGTTTCTCAACACAAAGGTACAGCAGAGTCTATCTACAAATTACACTAGTCAAAACAGAAATGCGCGCTAGTTAAATTTATCCTGATTCAGTTGTTATGGTCAGTTTTAATTTAGCTTATTTTTCAGTTTCTTTTAGTTTAGTTTTAATTTTATTAGGTTTCATTAGTTGAATTTTAGGTTTATTTTTACCTTTTTTAGCTAGTTTAGTTTAGTTTTAGTTTTACCCGCGACATGCGGTTCATTTGGGCTTAAGAAAATTGGGAAGGAGCCTACTTTTCTTGGTTTTAGGTTAAGCCCGAAATTTGCAATCCTGTGAGCAGTTCCGCAAGATGCGCCGTTCTGCAATTTGCGGGGTTCTTGTTTTCCATTGGTTGTATTTCTCATTTCAGTCATCACGCGCGTTTTTTTCCAAACATTAATGCTACTTAAATAATTTTTCGATTATTTTCAGTGCAACGCAAATTTTCGTCTTAAGGTGGGATTACGTCCCAGGTCTAGTATTCCGTCGCGGAATTAGTTGATTATAGTAAATACTGCTGCCTATGCGTGTTTTAAATTCGTACCTGAAAGAGGAAATGCTTCAGATATTCCTAAAGCGTTTTTTGTACTGTACGGTTGCCAGTGAGGCGCTACCTTACTCATCATAAATGCTTATGTGTGTGACAAGTATCTGGGTTGTTAGTTTTATTTTAATCTGTGCAGGCAGAACGGTTTGCTGGGGAGCATTATTCCACCTAATTGATCGTAGAACTACCTGGTTCTACAATGCCAGATGTCTGATCAAACATGCTGATTACACCTTTTTTACTTTTTTCACTGTTAAAATTTCGTTGAGCAGAGTATACTCATCTGCTACAATTGTATGCCAACGTTTAGCTTTTTCGCTTCATCCTGCAAAGGTCTAAATTCATTATAGCAGCAGATATGCGTACACCGATCTGTCAGAGGACCCACTCGTCCGACCATGTTGCCATTAGAGCTCCCTCTCTCGAGCCTCCACCGCGAGGCGGCTAGGATATGGGCAGAAGGACATTACCAGCAAAGATGTGAGGCACTAGGAAGGCCTTTTCTGGCTCGTTTGCCGTCATGGGCTAGTGATACCCAATTCATTATAGCATAATTCGCTTAATTCGGCAAAAAATCGTTAAGAATGTCTTGTAAGGCCGCCTACACAGAACATGGGAATAAGGGCGTCCTACCTACTTAATATATGTAGCAGCGCAATACCTTTCAGGAAATTTGGCAAAAGTATTTTATGTAGTGCACCTCATTAATCCCCAGCCCCAGAATTTCTTTTCCTGCGAAAACAGTGGTTATAGGGTTTTAGGGGTGGGAAATTAGGATAGGCAGTGGAATATACTTTCATAACTGCTACATGTATATTTATGTTGTGGTAGTTGGAGATGTTCTTGATTCATATCTGTAGATTTTCATAATCTGCATTATCGTTTAACGTATTGCGAAAAAAACTGGTTATCAAATTGCAGGTGTATTAAAATTTCTGAAAAATAGAAATGGTGATTAGGAAGTCGTCTACTTCAACTTACCTGCGGTACAAACTACCGTTCTAGGGTTAGGTAAGTATAGTCCGCTGAGCGATGCGCACCGCAAACCTTCAATTTACATGCGGAACAACTTACTCCCAGCCGCCGTTGGAAACAAATTCAAGTACATTTTTTAACTTTATACTTACTTCTTAAAACTTCCTTCTCTGTTTATCCTATTTCCTCCCAAAGACCTTAAAATCACCGTTTCCGTAGGAAAAAATGCTGTGACGAGGGATGTATGAGGTGCGCTACACAAACTACTTTTGCCTGAAATTTAATTACTCCTATGTCTTAGCCAGGACACTAAACTTAACCTAAAAATAAATCGTAACCCTAATCGTAACCCTAAACGCTTACGGTTGAAACGAGCCTATACCTTAAACCTTAAAATCATCCTAACCCTAACCGAACTTTTGACCTCAACCCTCACCCTCACCTTCAGCCTAACGCCAAGCTAAATTACCCCAGAATTACCTCAGTACTGTTGTCGCTTCCTGTACCGGTGTCCTTTTTAGACGACTATAAGAGTCACACTTACATCTAGAACTGGCTTCGTAGGATGTCCACTAGATTCTCGTGCGTTTTCGAAATAGCCCCCCTTTTTCAGAGCGGATGTCTAAATTTGGAAATTGAAATGTCGCTTTTCAGTAGAGAGGACAGAACCTGCTCTATCAGGTTGGTGCAAAAATGCCTTTTTAACAGATTGTAATTTACCCGTACATTCAGTGGTCACCAATAATTCGTAGTTGAGAGGCTCAAACCCTTTTGAAAAATAAAGGTAGATAGGTATTCATAGTGGGACTTCCTAATGGTAATAGGAGTTGCTCTAATAGTTTTCTTCATCTTTAGGCCTCCTTTATTAACCAAAAGGAGTGGTTCTTGTAGGTTCTTGGTTTATGTAGGCTTCCTTTGTTCTTACAGGTTTCCAGGTCTCTTTTGCTCTTTCCATAACTTTTTCACATACATTTTAATTCAGTGAAACAATCACAAGTGGCTTTTACTTAGTTCACTTATTACGCATTAAACACGCCTTAACTACGCCTTAATCTAGCAGTAAACCTTTAATCACGAAATCCCAAAGACACTTGGCCTGGGAGACTTTTGCAACTTGGCGGCTGCTCTACGATGAATTCCTACCTAAAGATGGCTTTGAACTTTCGATTTTTGAATGGCACTATGGAGACTCCACAGGCTTCTTAAAACCGTATAGCAGTCCTTCTCTCGAATGACCATAACGATGTTTTGGAGGATTTTATTGCTTGCATGAACTTTTGAAAGGCAGTTGTCCTTAGAGCCGAGAAAGTTACTTCTCCTGCGTTTTTGCTTTGAGCTGGTTTTGTTTTCCTAAGTTACGCATGAAAAGGCCATATCTTGATTAATGTTGTAATACGTTTAATTAGCCTTTAACTAGCAGGAGCGACGGCGAAGGTAAAATGATAGCATTTGCAGATGAACTTCTAGGCTAAAAGTGTATGTTCACATGTTTCCGAAAGAAGTGTTTGCAGAAAAGATTGCCTTTAATGATGTTCGTATTGCCTAGTGGAAGAAAAGGGAAATTTACATAGGCGCGCACACGTAAACATTGAGTTTTTGTCGCCAAATTTGGACGCAGCATGGCGTCAGTTGGATAGCTAGTGCATCGAGGGCTTCTCCGCCAACTCGCGGTCAATGAGATATTCCACTGCCGGGCCCTTACCCTCCAATCGAGTGATGAGAGATTTGAGTTTAAACAGCGCTGATGCCTGTTCCTTGGTGAAGTGCTCCAAGAATTCTTGCATCTGTTATAAAGGGAAATGGATCAGAATCATTAAGACTATGTAAGCATAGGCAAATTTGAAACACCGTAGAGTTAATTATTTTTTGGATGAACACGAATTAGTAACCTGACACTGAGCTGGGAGAGGGGGGTGGTGAAACGACAAAGAAGGCGGGTAGATTGATAAACAGAGGGTCGTCACTCCCCCCGCATCCTCTGTCGTCTCCTACCTCTGCTATTATAGCTGGGCTGACTACGGCCTTGTACGTGGTTGTCTGGACGCGACCTTTGTCACTCAATATGGGGCTTGTTGGCTTCGGGAATCTTTTGGACTAACGTGGGCCCATTTCTGGTCCAAACTGATTTATCTGTATAAATGTCCGAACAGATGTGGGGGTCATCTTCAGAGAATATAAATGGATAGTATTTGTATTTTCTTACAGACTCTCAATCACATGTAACCTTGATCTCACATGGCCTGGAACTATTTCGCGGATATTACAATACTTTTTCTCTTCCTATACGGGCTCAACTGTCAAAGCTAGTCTTCAAATAATGTTGCAGAACTAATAATTAAAAAATGCTACATATTTCAGTCGAGAACGTTTATTCTTCACGACCCAATCAAAATACCTTGCTGCCAACTGCTTCGTTATTGCGCGTAAGAAAGACAAATTTCCATTTACCGTCAGTAATCTGGAAGTTTTTAAGGTTGCTGTTACCCTTTTGAAAATCCGATGACTTGCAACCAACGCGGCGCACGAATTAATCTCAACATGGCAGTCGAGAAGTGAGTCACTGAGTACATTTGTTCAACTGGGCCCGCCTACCATCGCTACGGCATCCATATACAGCTCTTGGACCACTTCCAAGTTCGCGATAGCAGGAACTCAGTCTGACTCGTTAAGTCACATTTCAGGCTACTTGTTTTGTTTATTTTTATAGAACCCGGAAAATCGGCTTTAGATGTGTGGTCCTACCCTGTGTATCACGTCTAGCGGACGATGATTCTAGGATGCGCCTCTTCTTTGCGATTCGCGATAAACAGTCTCTTATCGCTTCTCCCTCACGAAAGGGTCTGACTACTTCAGATTCTGATTTGTCAGCATAAAAGCACGCCTGAATACTTTCCAGGACGTTGTTAGTTGGATCAGAAAAGAGTTTCGTAAAACTGCAACCTACATGGAAGTCTTGGAGCCGCTCCGCACTTTTGTATGCATAGAGGATGGAATTGTAGACATCAGCTTCGCGCTGAAGCGCGGCCTTCAAAGCCTCGACGGGACTGCTCCAAGACGTAGGCATGTCAAGAGGCAACTAAAACGGAAAAAATATAATAAAGCTGTGAACTGAAAATACAACTAACCATGTTCTATATACAACCTTACACACGAGAGAATATGGTAAGAATAGCATTCTCCAAATCAGGAAGTTGCTCAGACAAGGGTTCAAATGATTTATGGGTGAGGGTTCCTCATAAACATTACCGTTGTTTATTATACATAATTAACTACTTATTTTGTTGTATATTCCATTTACATTGGTCTTCATATAACTTCCGAAAAGGGGCAAATTCATTTCCCTGCTTTACAAATTAACACATTTATTTGAATTTCGCTGCTGCTTTCTTGTTTGTTTGTTTGTTTGCAAATCAACCGGTTGCATAGGCACACGGGTATTGCTATCTGTCACCTAATTATGGCCAATTCGCGATTAATATTTGCTCAATTCTTCCTTTCTAATGGTTGTACTTCCCATTGGCTCCCGACTTGCTTTTACTTTTATCACGGCGATTTATCCAACTGCCTTGGATTTTCTTACACTTACTTTTTTCGTGGATATACATAAGGCTTTAAGCAATATTGCCTGTTATTTACTACCTATAAAGGTTCGATTTTTATTTATTTTTCTACCCCCTAACCTGCCTCTACCCATATAACCACTATTAACACTGATTCCCTATTATAACATCCTGAGTTTTTTTATTACTGCAGTGACGTTAATAAGGAATATTTACTGATTTATGTTTCGGTAACTAAGGTCAGTCTAATTTTGGTAGGCGAGACCATGCAGGATCAGGTGATTTTGGAACTGTGCGTAAATACAATGTGCAGTCTTCACCGGAAAGCCCTCGCATCAGCTGCTTATAATAAATTTTGGTCAACCTTCACTAGTCCAATAAAGTGAACATGATAATGTGACTTTCAACCGAATAGATCTTCGAAGTGTACCGTGTGACCGCCAGCATATAGCTCCTGGACATGTCAGAAGTAGACAAATAAACTTTGCTTCCTGCTTTTTTTATAAAATTAGATTATTTTGGCAGTTAAAACGTTAGCAGAAAACTCACATCAACCAAGGTTTTCAAATCCGACATTAGGCGACAAAAAGGCCAATATAAACAACCAGTACGCGAGCAAGGCAAAAGAAAGTGAGCTCTTAACCGAGTTACCCTTCTGCATGACAATTCCCATTGTAATCAAACTGCTGCGTAGAAAGATGCGGTCTGGCTGACTACCAGCTGAAGAAGTAGTTCGACCCAAACTTGGGACTGCAAAAACCCTTTTATTTGACCAATACGGTACCTCTCGCGTTTTCGAGGTCCAAGCCTGCCTGCGGCAGACTAAAGGCGGCTTGTTTATCTCACCTTAGTCACTGCGCCCAATCTTATCCCCAGTCGGCTCAACTCGGACTGGCTACTGAGAAGCAGGGGGCGTAAGACCGACTCCTAAGGTTCCACTCTCTATGGCAAAGACCGGAATATACTCCTTCTGTAATTAAACTGCTACTACGAGATACTAAAATATGTAAACTGGAAGATGGCCAATGGACAAGCCAGCACGTTTTTCAGAAGGCAAAGAGAAGTGCCTGTAGCGGTTCTTTCCTGATCTAGTTTTTCTGACATTTTCACTCATTCGTTAATGAAAGCTCACCGAACGCTAACGGAACTCACTTGTCCCGCTGTCTTTGCCTCATTTATCCGGCCCTGACAGCAGCCGCAGCGGTTAGTAGTCTAGGCAGGTAGTATTGCTGGAAGGGACGAGGGAGACTGGAATGGCAATTTCTGGTTTTCTAGCCATCGCCTGCCTGTCATACCCAACCCCAAGTGGTGCATCACCCCACGCTTGAACTCAAAACCTTTGCGATCAGAGTTTAATGCTTTAGCCAGTCAGTAATGAGCTCTTTGTATTAAATTCCCTTTGTGGACGGTGAACGTTCATCAACGAGACAAGACAAAACAACGAGCTCGTGGCTCAATGGTCAGAGCGCTAGACTTCTAATCAAAACTTCCTTCTGCCTTCTTACTCCACGCAGGAGCCCCTTCGCGCTGAACACGCTCAGTGCAACTCGATAGCTCGAGTGAAAAGGATATTTACCCGACATTTCAGATTACCACTTTAATTTATTGGCACAGGCAACCACAATTAAAGATCGTGAGGTCAGGGGGTGGTGGTGGTACCTGTAAGATGCAAATGCTATGTATCACACTGCTAACATCAACAACGTCCCCTCCCCTCGATCATCGCCGATGCTTTTATTTCACCCCAGTTGTTAATTACTGAGACGTTAATAACGTCCACGTGAATTCCACACCGTCCAGTTTACTACCGTTTCTAAGATATGACTTCAAGAGTGCATCTTGAGCGTCAAGCATGCAAAATTCACGTCCCAGTAATCGATACTCCTCCTGACTTCGCAGAAAATCGATGGCACTAATCAGTAGGCTGGCTAAATCGAAAAAAAGCGCCATCGTGTCAGTTACGGCAAGAGTACACTAATCAATAACGTTAAAGGGGTACTGAAGTGTGCGAAAATCACCGCCGCAAATGTCTGCTGCGACAAGTCTTCAAGTACCTAAAAACACTTCATCTGAAAATAGGAATAGATGGACAGGCAGAAAAAGAAAGACTTGCATTGATATTTTTGAAGATGACGGTGCCAAAACGCTGGTTAATGAACTGGGTAAATTCCCGCGCATGTTCCTTCTCCTCATCGGCAGCATGGCGGAAGAAGGCGGCGAAACCAAACAATGCTTTGTCAGCACGCGCAAAATGAGCCGCCTAAAAACGGAAAACAAAAATCTCCTTTGAACTCCTTCCGAATTTGTGCGAAAATAGTTGTATAGCAAGATGACTGACAGGTTACTATGACGAGGCTGCTAATAGTGTCGGCGTAAACATGCAGGCACAAGAAAGGAATACATGAAATACATGAAAGGAATACAAGCGTGACCTTTTTGCTTTTCTGAAGTCTTCTATCAAGTATTGGGCAGTAGGTAAAAGTTTTGTGAATAAGTTCACAATAATTTACGCAAAAATTCGAGCTCTAGGGAGAAGTCGAGAAACCGTAGACGCGATTGCTGGAGCGAAAGCTTCATTCCCCTGACGTTTCGGATGAATGTTTGAATTCTTCATTAGAGACAGGATACCCATTTCTGATGCATGATACCAGCAGGAATCCAAAAAGCCAGACTGAAGAAGTTCTTGTTGCAGTGTTCGCGTCAACTTTTGTTCAACAGAAGGCGTGCTTATTTATTTGAAGCACATTTAATTTTTGGCTTTGCCAATGATGGGATAATATGGTTATACTTGTCACTAAGGCTCAGAGTGGAGTGAAGATATGCACTGAAGTTTGTTGCTTGGGAGACAGCTAGCAGCAACTATGGAGGAAAGCGTCCCTTTGTCATGAAAATGAAATCAGTTTAGCCTTTTCATGTCATGTACCCGACGGCCTCTCATTCAGAACATTTTCTCCCCGGTATAAATTTAAAACAAGCGCAGACAGCAGGCTTTATTGAATTCAATAAATTTCAAGAGGGCTTCCCAACTGCATCCCGTGAGAATATTGAGGACAAGTGAATCTTATTTTCGTTTTGTGTGAACTAGTTTGGTCTTAGGAAAAACTTAGCGAAGAGCCTGATACTCGATACACTACTTATTACCTAAAAATCGAGCTGTATTTATACTACAATTTTATCTAAAATATCCAGCTATTCTAGGGTCGTAACCGTAATAAGAATAGGACAAATGTATTAGTTCATTAGGATAATATAAATCATAAAGTTAAAGATACAAAGTAACAACCAAAAACTGCACAGCGCGAACTGGGCAGCTTACCATCTTCTCGTAAACGTAGAAAGCCTCGTACTCGAGCGTTATCTGGTCGTTGAGTTGCATTTCAAGTTCGGATACCAACATAAAAGGTGCCGTTCCAGGTTTAGTTTCTCGTGCTGGGCATACATTAGCGACTGTAGAGTACCGAAAACAACAAAGGGGAATTAAATTGGACTTCAGGACTGTCAAATGAAAGATATTTTTTTCAACTGCTCTTTTCAGCAGACGAACTAGTAAAGCTTGTTTATCCTACAACTGCGTAGAATGTATATCTCTTAAAAAGTTGATTAAGGTTATACGACAAAATTTGCATGTTTACAAAGCAGAAGCGTTTTATATGCAAAAATTAAAATGATGAGTTATTGAAGGTGGGCATAAAAAGTAACATCAGAATCGCGGGAAAAATGGTCTGTATACATATCAGCTTTCATGTTATTCTCAAAGTAGAAAATTGAAACTGCATTCACCATAACGATTATTGTTTCGTTACTATTATTTATCAGACAAGCTAAAGTGTCTCTTTCGCAGATAAAACGTACAGGGAACAAAAAACTTTTCACATTGGTATTTGGAATTTTCGTACTAGACAATTTTGGGTGCTTCCAATTTTAATTCTGCAATATCTGCTGTGTTAGACTATTGTAAACCTCAACACTTCATATGACTAACGCAGGCTCAAAATCGAACCCCAAACGCTACTAGCCAACACTAATTCCACCCCCGACACCAAAAACAAAAACACCTTAATTCTAATTTTAACTGTAAACCGAAACTTCACCCGATTTAAGGTCCTAACGGTACCTAGGAGGTGGAAGGGGAATTAAAAGGGCTTCTAACCGCAACGAGTTTTTACCACGTTTTCCTTTTCAAAAGCCTGCATGTGGATCAAATACTTTGTATTTTAGGTATTTAGTTCCTGTTAAAACTCCCTATACAAAGCAGTATCTTTGAATTTAGGGTTTACATAACGTATAAGCATTTCTTTCCTTTTTTCTTTAGGTATATTTATTGACCTTTTACCGTTTGCTTTGCGTCTTATTGGCCAATTAGGCGACATTTACTTATTTTTTTGAAATAGGGAAGGTAACATATACTGCTTTTTGAGACCCTAACATTAAATAATGAGGAGTGATTTGCCAATAAAAGCGAAAATGCGTGATTAATAAAGGAGCTGCTGAGGAATGAGCAGCTCTTTGTAAATCACCGAAATGCAGCAGTTGAATAAACAATTGGTATCTGCGTTTAATTGCGTGGATTAACCTGGGCCTTATAGATTGTGAAAACTTTAACATATCTGGACGGACGGAAAAGTGCTTAAAGAACATAATTGTACGTAATCGATAATTTCCGTGACATACTCAACATTTTTGGAGCATTACTACTTTGATGGCCTTATCATTTAAGAGGTATATCCATATACACACTGAAGGACAGGTATCACCGTAAATAAAATTTGAAGCCAAGTAAGTTCTGGTGGAAATGGAGCAAACTTTATTCCGTACATTTTGGATACCAATCCCCCAGATCTTCATTAGACGTAGATCAAGCATGTTAAACCGTTAAAATTTTAATAGTGTTCAAGAATCAAACTTTGTCTGGTAATTTAGCAAATAAGAAAGTCATCTATAAAATCCCGTACGATGATTATAATGCAGTAAAAATGTATATCCGCCTTAAAATGTATTCACGGACATCAACGGACCATAAAGAAGCGGGACCACCTGCCTCTAGTAGGCATCTCTACCCCAGACATTGGACGCACCTTCGCTCGGGATAAATTTCGCGCTGTTGGCGTCTACTTTTCACGAATGACTGGAACTTCTGCGAGACAGTGCATTTCGATGGGTTATGCATCAAGCGCCGCATGATTTGCATATTATAGACAACAATTTCATGCAGAGATAATAAATAGGGCAACCCACACAAACAGAATTATGGCATGTGGATACCGAGGATTGGCGTTAACTTCAATAAGCACGGTTACAATGCTGGTTGTTATACGCAGTTACCTATGTCCGCCAATGACCCGGGAAACTTGCGACAAGAATTTACGGAACAATATTTTTTCCCCTTCCCAAAGAATTTTTCTGACTTCAGGGTAAACAGAGAACTTATGTTGCATTACTATCTTCTCGCTGGAATGATCACTCACATTTTCTTGGTTCACTTTTTAAAAATTAAATTGACTATTGCCTGAAGCTAGTCATCTTTAGACGAGTCACTTAAGAAAGCCATTTTTTAAACTAGCTTCAGTAAGCTGCAAAGTATTGCTGCTTCACCTGCCTCATCTGTTGTTGAGTTTCGTTAGAAAATTAATAGTACCAGTTTAAAACTTTCAGCGCTTGTCAATGTGTTTCATTAAGCATAATTTAGCCATCTGATCCCAACCGAAACATGCTAGTGATGCCAGTTGCCTTGTTTGTAAAATGAGAACTACTGCCGAAACCTCCGATAGCGCATACCTTTAACCAATCGAAACATTAAGAAGGGTTAATCCTTGTGACTTTGAGTGGTCCAGCGGGAAAAGCATCCGACGGGCTCTGTTTTCGGATGTTGCTTTTGTGGTTTGTTAAATGACTAATCAAGTATGCGTGGACCGGCTTCTTGTTTTTCCCTAATTTTTGGCAGTTTTGATCCTTTTTGTGACTCATGCAACCTCACATCACTTTCTAGAGTGATTATATTAGGGCCAGGCTGGACGCTCGGAAACACTTCTTCTCAAAAAGGGTGGTCGGAG